AAGAAGCCAACCTCCACATGGACCTGGAGACACGTTCGTCTGTTTTTCACAACGTACGGTGTTTTGATAATTTTTGAAACACACGTGCTAATGCTTTTGTAATATTATGTGCATGTTTATTTTTTGCAACTGAAAATAAGTATTTTAGTGTATCCTCAACTATTTCTATTTGCTTGATGGCATTGCTCACCTTAAAATTTTATTTATTTTTTCTAGACGTAATTGGTTGAAAATAGAAATCTTCATTTCCTGTCATTTCTTTCCTGACATTTATCTTCCCACTACCAACCACTGACTTTACACTTTATAAATCAATTTTCAGTCACTTCCCCATTTGCTAACTTATTTTGCTTTTTATAAACTTCAGTTCATTCTCAGCCTCTGAGGCCTATTTGCATGTTTAACCTGAGGTGGAAAAAAATGTGACTTAACGTTATAAGTTGGTCCTGAGTCATTGTTTCCAAAACGTCATTTTGTCCGCCTGTGTGTTTTTAAACGTGTTGTTTTTCCCGTTCCCGCCAATCCATGGACTGCATACTAGTAAATCTTAGCTATTGTGCACATCGGGCACTGGATGGACTCGCTGTGCTTTTATTGCTAATGACCATTCAGCGGATTTGTATTTGGCAAGTCCCTGCTCAGGGTTAGAGGTTACCTGGATGTTACAGGGACACAAATGAAATAGATGCGCCCGCTGTACGCAGTGGGCTGCCCAGCACCCGGGCTACAGAGTCCACGGAGCAGAGAGGGGAGCCCTGTCCCCTCCAATCCCACCGCACCCGGGGATACACACTGTGAGGACGCGTAGGAGACGGACGGGGCCCGGGAGGGTGAGGAAGAGACTCAGGTCCAGCTCTTTCCCTCAATTCCAGTCAATTCCAAGCAACGCCGTTCAAACCGTAGGTGCTGGGTGGGTGTTTCCAGATCCTGGAGCAATTGTCCAGACGTGAAGGGAAAGGCAGCCTGTGGACAAGTACAAAAAGGAGCCCACCCCGTGTGGCTCAGTGGCTGAGCATCGACCTATGAACAGGAGGTCAGGGTTCGATTCCTGGTCAGGGCACATGCCAGGTTGTGGGCTCCATCCCCAGTCGGGGGGTGCAGGAGGCAGCCAATCCATGACTCTCTCATCACTGATGTTTCTCTCTCTCTCCCTTCCTCTCTGAAATCAATAATATATATATATATATATATATATATATATATATATATATATATATATATTAAAAAGAACAAAAAGGAGACCATTTGCTGGCCCAGGAGGCTGGGGGTGGTTTGCCGAGGAAGAGGGGAGGCAGAGGTGGCCCCAGACCTGGAATTGGCGTGGCCGCGTGGCTGTGGGCTGAGACGGCTCACGGCCGTGGATGCTGCTGTCGGTAACCTGCCCCTGCCCCGGGAAAGGGGTTCTGTCACATAAGCCATGACTCACGCTTCCATGTAACCATGGTCCAGGGACACCCTCCATGATGTAGCTACCTTCTCCGCGGGCAACCGTTCATTTTAACGTTGACGTCGTTTCCTGGGAAAGTAGCTCTCCCAGCTTGAGGCTATGGAACAGGAGGACTTGCGTTGCCTTCTGCGTTTCCCAGTCGTCCCTCTTCCCAGATGTGACACTGAAGTCTGCTCAGGGTTGTAAGACACGACTGTTTTCTTTCCAAGAGGCCCAGCCTAGTCGGGGAGACCCTTGTTTTCAGGAGTGATATGGTTCTTTCTCAAATTTTGTGAAGTCAGTACAATTCCGCACTTGCTGGCGACATCAGGGCGCGGCTGAGCCTCACAGAAGGTCTGTCCTTCCCTCTGGCTGAAATGCCTGGAATCGGCTGAGATAAACCAGTGGCGTTGGCCCGCGTACCCCCGGCACCTTGTTCACGGTTCATCGTGTTTCTGTGTGGTGACCGCGGTTCTGTGCTGAGATTTCTGTGTGGTGGTCTTGCTGTCCGTGGTTCTGTGCTGAGAGGATGTGAGAAAGCCCCTCCTTCCATGTTCAGGAGAAACGTGGTGGGAAAGCTCTGCAGCCGCGTCCGGTGTGAGAAAGGCCCCGTGTTTCCCGGGTGTGAGAGCAGCGGCGTGCGGTGTCCGTCGCGGGCTGTGAGACCGTTCACAGGTTTGTACTGACGACGCCCGACTAGGGAGCATGGATGTGGACCCTGCATAGAGATGCCTGCCTCCCGGTGAGGGGCGCCCTGACGGCTGATGGAGAGAATAAAGGCCCCGGGAGAAGGGAAGGGCTTGTTGATTCCACATGTCCCGGGCCAGGACGGAAAGCCCAACGGCGTCCATCCTCCGTCCCCTCCTGCTCCTGTAAGAATCGAACTGCCTGGCCTCTCCGACCGTGAGGCCCGAAGGCCTGCGGAGCCTACACCCCAGGGCCCCTCCGGGCCGAGCCGAAAGCCTCCTCCCCCAGCGGACCCAGGCCGGCAGATGCCCACGCACTAGACGGTGCTGTCAACACCCTTTTTAAAGACGCGCCGACTTAGACGTAGTGACTGTGATATCGGACAAAGAACTTCCTTTTTATAAGAGAAGCAAAGATGATTGCAGAGTAGGGCCGGCCGGCCCTTTTCATCTCGCGCACACAGACTGATGACTAGAATCCCGCCCGCGGCACGCCAGAACATGTATTATAGTTTTTTGCCGATCTGACAAAAAAAGAAAAATCGGTTTTATTTTGATTCAATCACACCAGACGGCTATTGTGTGGGCTGTTTCCATCTTTTACTTGACGGTCGAAGGGAAAGGGGTCGGTGCCCCTGATTGGATAGCCAGGTGCTGCAGGCTTTAAAACGTCTTGTCGCACAATGGTCAAAAATCTCTTTTCTAGACCAAAATTAACTATTTCTTTTTGTGTCTCAAACAGTTTGTTTTTTTTTTACTGTTTTTGGAAACTATTATTTTTTTTTAACTAGAATTGAACACACTTTGCTATGTAAATAGTGATTTTATAGACATATCAATTATATTAAGTATCTAAAAGGTAGTATTTTTTCTAAGTGTTTCTACATAGCTTACTTTGTTCATATTTAATGTTATAATAAAACAACTTTAGGAATACTGACATTCCCTTTCATTCACTGAACAAGATCTATTTCTTGATGTATAAAAGAACAAAACAAATAATTTCACTCTATTATACATATATTAGAGGCCTGATGCACGAAATTCATGCAACAGCAGGCCTTCCTTCTCTCAGCTGCCAGTGCCAGCTTCTCTCTGGCACCCAGGACCCAGGCTTCCCTCACAGCCCTGGCTTTGTCCGGAAGGTCGTCCAGAAGGATGTCCGGTCTAACTTGCATATTATGCATTTATTATTATTATAGATTTATATGGTTATTTTTATACATGCACTCAAAAGCATATAATTTTCATTCATTTAAAACCAGTATTTGTTTTAACGATTCCCTAACAATTTGCATCTTTAATTTGCTTATATGTACAAGTTCCATGTTAGTACATATATTCCCAAAGGACTCATGTTTTCAATATATCCTTAAGTAATAAAAGCCAAATCAACCATATCATGTAGACTAGTCAAGAATTAGATTAATAGAATAGTGTAAGAAAATTATGATGGAACTAGAGGCCTGGTGCAGGACATTCGTGCACTAGGGGCCGGGGGGTGGGGGGGGCAGTCCCTCAGCTTGGCCTGTGTTCTCTCACAGTCCAGGACCCCTCAGGGGATGTCTGCCTGCCAGCTTAGGCCTGATCCCTGCGGGCAGTCAGACATCCCCCGAGGGGTCCTTAGTGCTGCCTCAGAGGTGGGAGAGGCTCCCGCAAACACCGCTGCACTCGCCAGCTGTGAGCCCAGCTCTGGCTGAGCAGTGCTCCCCCTGTGGGAGCAAATTGACCTCCAGGGGGCAGCTCCTGTGTTGACCTGGTGATCAGTGCACATCATAGTGACCAGCCATTCCGCCTTCCGGTCGATTTGCATATTAGCCTTTTATTATATAGGATATCAACCTATCCTCTGTACCCATGCCAAAAAAAAATGCATTCAGATATGAAATAATTGGCTCTGGCTGGGTAGCTCGGTTGGTTAGAGTGTCGCCTCCACAAGCCAGACTTGGGGCTCACTCTCCAGTCAGAGCGCATACAAGAAGCAGTCAACGGAGGCATACATCAAGGGAATGACAGATCAGTGTTTCTCTCTCTCTCCCCCTCACTCTCTAAAACCAGTAAGTAATATCTTAAAAGAAGATAAAATACTGTACTTTTACTCACTTAGAAATACTTTTACTTGGAAACCATTCCTTTGAACAGTAGGACCCTTGGTTCATTGAGCGCTGCAGGAGTGCAGGTGCCTGACGGATGGCAGGCTGACTTACAGTGTGAGGGCAGAGACAACAGCCAACCACGGCCGACGGCCTCTGGTCAGCACCCGGGCGCACCCAGGAGGTCGGAGACGATTCTCTCTGGTGCGACGGCTTCGTCTCGAGGAGGTCTCGGGGCAGCTGCACGAGGAAGGAACCCTACACATACACAAAGGGAGCCGGGCAGGAAGGGACAGCGTCAGGGCCGGACTACGAAGCAAGCGAGTGCAGTACTTGCGTTGTGAAAGCCGTGGTTACCACTCTGTTGTGAGTCAGACACTGTATCCTTGCACAGACCCTCACAGCTGACTGGAATACAGTAATGGAACAATTTTATTACAGTCTGATAGATTAACAAATGATCTTTAGTTTTTTAAGTTGCTTATCCATCAGACATTGATTAAGCATTGATTAGTGGTGTGTACAGGCAGTGCTGGTCGTGGAGTGCATGTGGCATGGCTATTCATATATGCTAATTGCTTTGTCAGAACCCCAGTCCCACTGCGCTGTCTGATTGCTGCCTGTAGGAGAGGGTAGACCCTCACGATTAGAACAGTGGTTTAGACACCGTTGAGGATGGACACTCTCCTCCCCCCTAACAAAACGCAGTCATTTGTAGCTAAACACGATCTGTACAGAAGAACTAGGTGGCGGATGGGAAACATGCATGCATGTCTCTGGTCACAGTCAGGGCGGATGGGAGCATTGCTGGCTGCTGTGCTCACTGTCATCTTCAAGGAGGAGCATGTTTTGAGCGACAGACCGAACTGAATCCAGGGCCGTCGCTCACTGTCCTTTCCTTTCTCCTCCCCAGTGCTGCCCAGCCACACATGCGGGAACCCCGGGGACATCCTGAAAGGGGTGCTGCACGGATCCAGGTTCAACATCGGAGACAAGATCCGCTACAGCTGCCTGGCCGGCTACGTCCTGGAGGGCCACGCGACGCTCACCTGCATCGTCAGCCCCGGGAGTGGCGCCACCTGGGACTTCCCGGCCCCCTTCTGCAGAGGTAGGTCACCTGCGCCAGGGGCTGACCTTGTCCGTTTCCGCTGATGACAGGGGACTCGCCTGCTGGCCCTTCCCCAGGTCTTCCATTCTGTTCCCCAAAGTCGTGTTCTGTTACCAAGAAACCGTGTGTAAAGTCAGGAACACATGTAGTGATGCTCCTTGAATCCCCAGAGCTGCCTTCATTCTTATTCTCAGACCCTCTCAACCTCTGCACCGTTGATCACCGTTTATCAGAGGGCCAGTCTCCTCTCAAGGCTACATTTTCTGAGCTTTAATACATACCTTTATGTCCACTGTGATGTGGTCTTTCCTTCTAAAAATATATTTTTTTATTGATTTCAGAGCAAAGGGGAGAGGGAGAGGGAGAGAGACATCAATGTGAGAGAGACACATGGATTGGTTGCCTCCCACACACACCAGGCCCAGGGCCCAGGGCCGGGGATCGAGCTTGCAACCGAGGCATGTCCCCTTGACTGGAATCGAACCCAGGACCCTTCAGTCTGCAAACCGACGCTCTATCCACTGAGCCAAACTGGCCAGGGCTCTGGCTGCTCTTTCGAGGAAAGAACATCGAGGGGGCAGGGCAAGTGGCAAGCCTGCGGGACGCCATGGCCACCGTCAGGATGGGCGGGGGGCCCTTGGGGAGTGAGGCTGGCGGTGCCACTGGCTTCTGAGCACGGTTTGGAAAAGGAGCTCGAGGCTCCTGTTTCTAGGAGCTCCAGGGCCTGAGGGACACGGGGACGGTCCGCCAGCCCGCGGCGGCTTTGTCTCCGTCGCCACGGGAAGGTGGAGCTGGCGTCCCTGCGAGTGAGAAGGCCGACAGTGTCAGACTGGAGAAGGGGAAGACGGAGAATTGGATGTGGGGCCGCTGGGCCTAGAACGCTCTTCAGACACCCCCAGGCTGTGGCGTGCGGGTCGCTGGGAGGAGCACGCTGACATTCAGGAGGGGCGTCTGGAAGTGAACTAGAAAATTCCAAAACGCCAGCATACACATGGCATTTAAATCCCGACAGTGGAGCCTGGGCGGGGTCCACAGGGATGAGGCGTGCGGACTGACGCTGAGGCTGGAGATGGAAGGAAACTAACGAGGACGCCGAGAAGAAGCGGCGAGGAGATGAGCGGAAGCCACGTGAGCAGTGAATAGAAACAGCGGTGACCAGAACTCTGTGTCCGCCGTACGGCGCCCATGGACGCTCATTCTGGTCTTGTCTGTGTACACGGAGGGAAGCGGAAATCATGGGGGGCACAGCAGGGGGGCACATGGGACCCCTCCTCTCCATCTGCAGCTTCCTACGGATTTGCTCCTATTCTGAGATCCCAGAAAAGCGTGACACGTCGGCGAAAAAGTCTTTTGATGAAGCGGAGACGGAGGCCTGTCCGGGTGCTGAGCGCTGACGGATGGTGCGGGCTGAGGGCTCTCTTGCGAAGAGCAGGGGCGGTGGCCAGTGGGGACCAGTCGTGGCTGAGAGGGCCCAGAGGAGAAGGGGGATGAAGGGCTGCGGCTGTGGGCCTTCCTCAGGGGTGTCGCCAGGAAGGGGTTTGGGAAACAAGGCGGGAGGGAGGTGGGGGCCCCGGAGGTAAAGGTGTTTTCTTCTAGGTTTCGGGTCGCGCCCTTCAGATTCATGGCCAGCAACAGGTGTGAACAGGCGAGGTGTGCACTCACGTTGCGATGCTGTTTAGACGCGCGGACTGGGGACAGTTATCACGGGTTTGCAGCGAAGAACGGTCCCGGATGAAAGGGGAGTGACCGTTCCGAGAGGGGAGAGGGGCACAGCTTTGGCTGAAGATCCTGGTCAGGGTGAAAGCAAGAACCCAGCTGCGGGGGAATCCCGGGCCGGAGCGTGTCCGTTCACGCAGGAAGGACTTCTGTCGGCGGGAGTGCGAAGGCGATCAGAAGGTGGTGGTGGGTGATCAGGCTGCTCCGGATGGTGTGTCTGTTCGTGTGGTAGGAACCACCGCACCGAGGAGTGCGGATGTGGCAGGAGGCGCCCCCGGGGTGAGGAAGGAGGAGGGACATGGACATCGCCGGGGAGGACGGCTCAGAGGAGGGACGTGGAGTAGGGGCGCCATCGTTTACAGCTAGCCCAGTGGTCGGCAAACTCGTTAGTCAACAGAGCCAAATAGCAACAGGACAACGATTGAAATTTCTTTTGAGAGCCAGATTTTTAAAACTTAAACTGTATAGGTAGGTACATTGTTATTAACTTAATGAGGGTACTCCTAAGGCTTAGGAAGAGCCACACTCAAGGGGCCAAAGAGCCGCCTATGGCTCTCGAGCTGCAGTTTGCTGACCACGGAGCTAGACCCATGAGCATGTGTTTTTGGTTTTGGTTTTTCTCCAGCCACACATACCTGCAGGGCGGACATGTGCATTTGGTTCAGATTTGAATTTAAGAGATTGACACTGGAGTCTCGGCACATGCGAGGGGGTGATTTAAGTGATGACGTGGCCAATCAATCAATAAATAAATGAGGGCCATGGAACCGAAGGATGACAAGGGGACAGTTGAGGGCGCGAAGAGGCTGAGAAAGGACAGTGAGAGAACAGCGAGATCAGAGGCTTCTCGGTCCTGTGGGCCAGAGAGTGGTTGGAGTGAAGGTGTTCAACCACGTGCCCGGGAAATACAGAGCGTTAAGGTGGGAGCACAGGGCAGCGGGAGGGCAGCTCTGGGCGGTACCCACTTCCTGGTAGAGAGAGGATCAAGTGCCGGGAGCCGGTCCATCCTTGCTGTTTCAAGGGACCTGGCATATATGGCATATTGTTCTTAATATGTTTGCTCACCTTCTTGGCACTATGTGTTTTAACCAAGGTCTCCTCTCTGAGAAAGGTTGTTTCCCCAGGTAGGGATTTTCCCCTGAAGTTAGGGAGGGAATAAAACCTCTTAACTAAGTGCCAGGCGGGTAATTAATCACTTTAACTATGAACAATCGTGCTTAAGCTACATAATCTTTACTCCCTGGAATGAAGATAAGAAACGCCCTAACCTTTGTAATAGAGATTGATAGGATTGAATCAACTGGTATAAATACAGATACAACAAGACAGCAAGAGCCAGAACTCAGAACACAGAATGAAGAAGACAGAACTCAGAAGAAGGAACCTACACAGACAGAAGAACTTCGCTGGAGAGAACATGGCAAAAGATCCTGCACTGAACCTGACTACAGAAATTGGCAAGAGAACCTGACTAGAACCTGGTGACTGAACCTGGCTGGAGAACCTGGACAGAACCTGGCTGGAGAATCTAGCAAGGGAACATGGCTACAGAACCTGGCTGGAGAACCTAGCAAGAGAACATGGACACAGACCCTGGCAGGAGGTCCTAAGCAGAACTTCGCTGGAGATCCAGACCAGAACTTGGCTGGAGATCCTGGCTAGGCTGATGATCAACTGAACACTGTCTCCGTGTCCTTCCTTCTTCGCCGACTCCATCCACACCTTTGGGGACCCCTGGACCCGCTGGGGTTGGACCCCGGCAATCAAGGGCGACGGTGAGAATGAGTGGCTGAGCAGGAGCTGGGTTGTTGGGAGAGGGGTCAGGGAACGAACTGAGACCAACATTCAAAGGATCAGCAAGAACCGAGATGAGTGTGGACTCGGAGAGCCTGACAGGGAGCCTTCATGCGGCCTGGAGCTGACCAGGACTCAGTGGAGGACCTCAAGGAAGAAGGGGCGAGGTTCTGAGGAGCAGAGGTGACCAGATGGGAGGGTTTAGGAAGAAAGAACAAACATATCCTGGAAGCGGGTACGTGGCGTATGGTCCAGCTCCAGGCCCAGGGCCACCTGGGCTGTGGAAGCAGAATGTCGACCGCTTGGGAGGACTTCCTTGTCCCAGCTCTTCAGGGGATGTGGGGTTTCCACGGGGAAAGGGCAGGGGATACCGCGGACGTGGTTGTGATGTGGGACGTGCTGCTCATGGTTGACCTTGAGTGTCAGGGACTTCGTGGAGGGTTTCAGGAGCTCGGGAGGGGAGGGGTCCAACATCTGAGCTGTGCGATCTTTGAGGGGGTAGGGGGGGCGACCCAGGGGGAGGAGGGAGACCTAGGGGGTGGGGGCGAACTAGGGGATGGGGGCAACCTAGGAGACCAGTGCTTCTTACAGAGACCTCAGTAAGCGGGGAGAGTGTAAACGCCCCATGGTCTCGGCACACGCGTGGTGGGGAGCGCACCGGAGGAGCAGCCATGGAGATGGGGGAGGTGACCCATGTCTCTGGGCCCCTCTGAGCCCAGCCCTGGAGGAGTTCCGCCCTGCACCCACCCCAGCTCCTTGTCAGCCTCTCTGCCCTCAGAGCAGCACCCGCTCCTGGTGCAAACACTGTGTAGACCCAGGAAGGCAAGTCTGACCCGAAGCAGCAAAACCTTTAAGCCCTGAGATGAAAAATGCGTATCAATAATTTATCCAATAAGCTATCACTGCGTGATCACTGCATGCCAGGTGGTTGGAAACAATAATAGCTACTTTGATCAGATACTATTTGCCTGCCTAGTTCTAAGGGTTCTGCCCGGATCAATTCACTTCACCTCACACCAACCCTCGGCAGCGACACCTTCATTCTCGCCAGTTACAGAGAAGCAAACAGGTACAAGAAGGGGCCGAAAGCTGGTTACACAGCAAGCGGGCGGCTCCCTCAAGCCCAGACGGTCGGTCTGGCTTCTGGGGGGTCACTGGCTCCCAGATTCCGCGCGGCCCTAGGGAGGGTCAGCGCGTTAGGTAGTATCTCCCAGGTTAGAAAAGCAATGTGATGAGTGTGTGTCTGTGTGTGTGCGCGTGTGCATGTGTGTGTGCATGTGTGTGTCTTTCCTGGAGTCTCCCCCACAATCGTTAACACTGCGAAGAGACTGCATCTGGTTGCATATCCTCCATGTGGTAAATTTAACACACTAATTCGGGAAGCCACTGAGCCATGTTGAAACCCTCAGATGGTTGTGTGGTGCAGACACATCATACTTTAATGATTTACAGCTTATTAAACATTTAGTTGGTTTCCATTTTCCCTTCTGATAAATGTGCAAGGGATGTCTCTAAATAATGTTTTATTCTGAATTTTGTATTATGCCCTCAAGTTATATTCCTAGCAACGTCTATACCCAGGCGAGGCCTATGATACTTTCAGAGTTTAGAATAAAGCTTCTAAAAGTTTTGAGGTTCCTTGGGAGAAATGGTGAGCTGTGATTTCCTCTTACATTTAGAATATTTCCCCACTTACGGGAATCAGTAGACCCAAACGCATCTTTTATTAAAAACCTCATCTTCTTGGATTAACGAGATGACATTCACACTTTTTTTTAGCTGTAGAATCATTTTTTCCAAGTGCAAGATTTTGTGAAAACTCAGTATAGGAAACCGAGTTAAAGAAATAGTTGCTCTGAGGGAAATTGGGTGTCAGAGCCAAAGCCCACCCACTTGGCAACCGCTGAATCCTTCCCTCAAAGGTCCCAGGGGCATATTTTTAAAATGCTGAAGTGACTCAATACTAGTTTTCATCATTTCGTTGACAAATACTTGTTGTGTGCTAATTCTCATGGTCAAGTATTTGCACGACAGTTTGACCTAACTTAACTTTCTTTCTGTATAATGTTTAAAAAATATGGGGGGGGGGGGGGCGGATTCTAAATAGCATTTACTTAATTAGCCCTGCCTCAATTCTTCAGCTTTTAAATAAAAAAAATACTCTGGATATAGCAAAATTAATATAAAAGTAATAGTTTGACACATTATAGTTGCTTATTAATATGTATGGATTAAAAAGAGCTTACATTATATTAATACTAGAGGCCCTGTGCATGGTTTTGTGCACTGATGGGGGATGTGGCCTGCGGGACTCGGCTGCTGTGGGAACACCACTCATCCTGGTCAGCCAAGTGCGCTCCCCCTGTGGGAGCACACTGACCACCAGGGGGCAGCTCCTACATTGAGCGTCTGCCCCCCGGTGGTTAGTGTGTGTCATAGCGACTGGTCGACTGGTCATTCTGCCATTGGGTCGCTGGGCTTTTATTATATAGGATAACTGTATTATTTAAATATTGGCCAGAATTGGTTTATTTTTAATAGTTACTTATTTGTTTTAATACATTTTACTTTTTATATGTTATTTCTCAGTTTACATGCTTAACTGTGGAATTTGAAATAATTCTTCCAGGCCCAGCCAGGTGTGGCTCAGTGATTGAGTATCCACCCAGGAGCTGGGAGGCCACCGGTTCAATTCCTGCCAGGGCACATGCCAGGGTTGCAGGCTTGATCCCCAGTGCGGGGCATGCAGGAGGCAGCCGATCAGTCATTCTCTCTCACCATTGATGTTTCTGTCTCCCCCTCTCTCTCCCCTCCTCTGTGAAATCAATGAAAATATATTTAAAAAATAAAAATTCTTCCGGGTGCCAGGAAGCTGGCTCATAATCTCATTTTCTTAATGTTTTCCTTTGATTACTTTGCTTTCTCTGCCTGCCTGACTTTATCTCTTCTAGAAACTTCCTTGCTGCTCTGCTGAGTCTAAAGGAAAATTGCCAGGTGGCAGCTTAGCTACTTGTTGAAAACAAAGAGCCACACACACAGGGGCCCTCTAACCCCTGGGGATTGCTACAAGGACCCAACTTGCTTCTCCACAATTAGCTTTTGTCTAACATATTGTTCCACGTCGTCTTGCTGCAGTTGTTCTAGAATACTCTTTTTTAAACCTTGTATTTGAAGATGCCTCTATATTTCCATGACTCGGTTAACTTACTTTTTGACGTCTTTCCTTAGAAATAGCATAGTTTGATGCCATGCATGAGCCCAGAAATGTGTTTTGTTAAAATCTCACTTCTAGTACTAAGGGTGGCCGAATAGAGGCTCATTGCAGGCAGCAGAGCTGCGGGAATGCTGCAGGCTCCCACCCAAAGAGGAAAAAGCAAAACAGGAGGCAAGCTGCTGGTTCCAGGCCAGGCTGCCTTCTAGGATGGAGGGCACAAGCACATGGTCGAGTCCCTGAAACGTACAGTCTAGGACTTTGCACGTCATGAACTGCTGAGAAGCAAAGCAAAGTGAGGGGACAGTGATGAAAAGGGGTGCCTGTTTGTACCTGGCGGCCCGGGAAGGCGGCCCAGGAGTATGACTGATGCAGACGCCAAGGGCAGCAGGCAGGCCATGGGCAGCGTGATGAGTGCAAAGGGCCTGGGACAGGGACATACAGGCGCTGGTCCCGGAGGCAGGGTGGCCCCCCCCAGAGCGAGGAAAGGGAGGGAGAGGGGACAGAGTGAGGTGGGTGGGCAGGGGCGCTGGGGAGGCAGGCAGGGGTCAGCACATAGCCCATGCCTCAGGGCCTGGCCACCTTTGACTTCAGTCTCAGGGTGACATGGGAAGTTTAACAGTTTGGGACAGAAAATTTTAAGATTCAAGTTCAATTTTAAAAGGATCAATGTTGCTGATGTAAGTGGACATACTATAGAGGAAGGATGGAAGCAAGAGTATCCATTAGTTTTAGGTGCTCCTGTGTGTTGCGTGCTTGCATGTGCACGTGTGTGTGTGTGTGTGTGTAAACAGTGTAAGGAATAGTTGCTGAAGGTCTGTGGCTCTGATTTTCCTACTTCTGGCTAATGAGCTCCCATTTTCAAAAGCTTATATGTGTTTTTTAGTAGAGCATTTGTTTTTAGTACAATATGAACAATTGGAATAACATGTTTAATAAAAACATGTTACTGTATTTTTGTATTATTAGTTTTTGCATGAGTGAAGCTAAGGTGGTGAAAACACATCTCAGAAACTATAAAGTTATGAATTTCAAAATATAATCTATAATAATAAAAGCATAATATGCAAATCGACTGAACGGCTGACAGCGGAACAATCATCTGGACGACCTTCCGGACGAAGCCGAGGTTGCGAGGGCCTACTCTTGCACAAATTTTGTGCATCGGGCCTCTAGTTTGTCTTATAAAAGAGTTACATATATCAAATCCACTTTCCACCCAAATAGGATTAGAGGTATATTAAATAAAATCAACCACAATGAATCTGTTATAGCTATACTGATGTTTAGGTTTTTCTAAAGAGTTAAAAATAGTTTAGTTTAGAAAATTTAATAGTTGTTTCCTAATTAACTTCATTTATCTGGGCTTATTCTTTATGGGAAAATTGTATAACGTCTGTCAAAAATGAAACTGTTTCCAAAGACAGCTGCAGTACCTCTCATCTCTTTAATTAAGTTATTGAACATAAACAGATTATTTAGGGGAAAAATGCCATGTAGGTCTCTCTCTGTTTTAATACATTTACATAAGCCAAATACCTCATAGTAAATTATTAACCTTGACGCAGAGAAAGAGAAGTGCTGGCATGTTAATCTGGCTCGAGGCCTCCTGTCCCGGGGGCTCTGGGTAACCCCCCGTGGGAGCCGGGAAAGCACTGCCCAGTGACCGGCGTCGGAGTCTGAGGTGCTCAGCTGGACCCTGTGCTGGGGAGGACGGCCGGATCTGGGTCCGAGGCATTGCTGGTCAGCACGCTGTGGGGGCAGTTTTGGCCGTTGGTGGGCAGAGGCGGGGATGCTGCGGAACTTCCCACGCTGCACGGGCAGCCTCCCTCACAGAGAATTAGGCCCCACAGGGCAGAGGACAAAGGTGAGAAGCCAGGATCTCAGAGTCATCTGTTAATGATCCTCTGTTAACATAGGGGGCGTGCAGGAGGCAGCCAAGGGATGCTCTCTCATCATTGATGTTTCTATCGCTCTCCCTCTCCCTTCCTCCCTGAAATCAATAAAAGCATGAAAAACATCCCTGTCCTGTTCGGCTCAGTGGATAGAGTGTGGGCCCGCGGACCGAAGGGTCCCGGGTTCGATTCCAGTCCAGGACACGTGCCTCGTTTGCAGGCTCCTCCCTGGCCCAGGCCCTGGTCGGAGGCTCATGCAGGAGGCAGCCCATGGATGTTTCTCTCACATCGATGTTTCTATCTTTCCCTCTCTCTTCCACTCTCTCTGAAAATCAAGGGGAAAATGTCCTCGGTGAGGATTAAAACACAAACAAAAACACGAAAAACAAAAGAGGAAATGGCTCCCTCCTTACCCCTCCTTTTTCACAGGAGGTCTCTGCAGGGGTGAGTAGATTCCCACAGTCCGTGTCCATTAAAACCCGGCCTTGGCCTGCTCACTCCTGGCAGGGATGGGGCAGTGAGATCTGCGAGGATTTCCCAGGTCCTGGGTGTCTCCACGGTCACATGGTCCCTGGCTGTTGGCGCTGTAATGAACTGCGGGCAGAGGTGTGGAGGCGGGTCTCTCGGGTCCTCGGAGCCTTTAGATCAGAAATGGGGAACCTGTTTCCTGCTCCCTCTGTCCTTCCCTCCCTCCCTCCCTCCCTCCCTTCCACCACTTAGCACCATATCATTTACATCTTATATGTGTTTCATCTTTATTGACGTTTTACTTGGCATTTCCCCAAGATATTCCCATTTTTACGTTCCACGCAGCTGTTTCCTCCTTGGAAACTTTGGGTGAGTCCATGTGTCTGTGTGGTGCCATCTTATGGTATTAGCTTATCTGAACTTCAAAACCGAATGCACCTTCCAAGCTCCCTGGAGACGAGGGGGCGGCGCCCTCCCCTAGGAGCACGGCCTCTGAAAGCCAGCATCTTAGTGCGAAGGGACGGCGGCCACAAGCACTCAGGTCTGAATGTGGCCGCTCATCTCCTTCCTCCAGGGCTCGAGAACGTCTTGGAAACCGCTGTCCACCTGCCTGTGACTGTGGATGGTGACAGCGATGCGGCCCGGGTCCCAGCCAATGGCACCCTTTCCGATTGGGGGCCGTTCCTTAGCAACAAGATGTGACCCTAACCCTGTCCCTTCCCATAGAACGGCAGGCGCAAACCCGCAGAGACCCTCAGAGGGCGTCTCGGTCTCTGGTGAGGAAATACCGTCACTGATCCCGGTGACATTGTCGATGCCCTTGTGCCCGAGAGGATCCTGAACAGCGTCTTCCCTTTCCTCTGTCCTCCAGCCGAGGGAGCCTGCGGGGGGACCCTGCGGGGCACCAGCAGCAGCATCTCCAGCCCCCACTTCCCGTCCGAGTACGAGAACAACGCCGACTGCACGTGGACCGTCCTGGCCGAGCCCGGGGACACCATCGCGCTGGTCTTCACCGACTTCCAGCTGGAGGAGGGCTACGACTTCCTGGAGATCAGCGGGACGGAGGCGCCGTCCGTGTGGTGAGTGCGGGAGGGTGCGTCCCATTGCCACATCGGGCTTCCGCGGTGCCGTGCAGGGGCCTTTGGAGGTTGTAGGAGGTCATTGGAGGTGGTTGAGGTCATTGGAGGTTGGAAGTCATGGAGGTGGTTGGAGGTCACTGGAGGTCATTGGAGATTGCTGGAGGTCATTGGAGGTCACTGGCAGTCATTGGAGGTCACTGGAGGTGGTTGGAGGTCTCTGGAGGCCATGGGAGGGCACGTGCGTCCTTTCTCTGCCTTGCTCTGTGGGCTACTAAAACGTCGTCTATATCACAGCTGAATCCAAAGTCGATCAGATGTTGTTAGACTGTGGCCATGCCCTGTCCCTGACCCGCTGGCTGCAGGTGCACGATTGCAGGATGCACATTGGTCTCCTCCCTGGAGATGCTGCACGAGGTCATGTGACCACTGTGGGGGTCACAGGAAAACTGTGTACACGGCTCCAACACGGTACGGAGTCGGGCCCTGGTGGCTTGGCGTGGAGCCACTGCATCTGGTCAGTTGCGCTGGACTGAGGGTCATGGTGTTGGTGCAAGAACAGGGTAGCTGCGTCTCAGTGCGGTTGGAAAGCGAGAATTTAGAGAACAGATGCTGCAAGGCCTCCAGTGCGTCTTGGGTTAAGTCATCTGTAGGGTGAACTGCTTCCTTGGGTTTAATTATTTAATTTCTGAGCTTTTTAACAGTGGCACCAGAAATCGAGCTCAGATGTTGAAGTAAGAGCTAACGTGGATACATGTACATTCAAATTCAGGCAGAACACACAGGGGAGCGGGTGTTGTGTGCGCTGGTGGGAGAGGACGTGAAATGAGTGGTGTGGATATTTCTCTGCATTTAAGTTGGCATTGCAACGCCAAGACTCAAGGACAAAGGCGTCAAACCTAAAGCACGTCATCACTGGGGCCGCCCGTTTTAAACCAATTCCTGAATTTTACTTTCTTTCCTGAGACTCATGGCTCCAAGCAGAGGGCTCCCGTTCACGGGCACATCATTTCCTCGCGTTGGTTTTGCTGCGCGTATGTTCAGTGTCACTCCAGGGAAGAGAAGGGTGACCACGGCCTCTGTCGTCTTTGCTCCACAGATTCTGTATCTTGAGAAACAGTTGAGATGGAGCCAGTTGGCCCATCTGTCGATTTAATGATACAGTTTTCACTTAAACCCTCAGAGCGTGTTGATATTATCGGGGCTCTCACTCAGCCTCACATCACAGTCCGTGGATTCTGAGCTGAGAACTGAAAGTCTGAGATAATCCTCCAAGTTCTGCCATGAACAAACCTTGTGGCCTTGGTCAAACCACGCGACTGTCCACTCAGCAAAGGGCGTCCTGCGTGACCTTGTAAATGAGCCCATCGCCGCCTGCCGGGCCGGTCTCTGCCGGTCACCGGAGAGTCCGCGGTGCCACATCCTCTCGGGGGAACATCGCAGGGTTCTGGTTCAGAACATCATTGCGATGCACAGCACGGGGTGCCTGGGCCCAGAAACGATGCGGTTAGTGGGGAAAAGGCCTTAGTGACGAGGAAACCTCAGGATGGCGGGCACTGGGTGACCCCCTTGCGGGTCACATGTCAGGCGGGGAGAGAGGGAACGGGCTGAGCATCCATCCGTGATCAGGAAAGTGCTCGGACAAGCGTGGTTCATGAGGGAGAAGCTGCAGGGCGCACATGCCCACACTGAAGTCTCCAGAAAAGACGGGGGGGAGGCAGGTGCCCATCCAACGGGACACAAGCTGCGAAGGGCACGCGGCCCTGCCCGCACCTGGCGTTCCTCTGAGAAGCAGGCGCCCTCCTCCAGGCGCCGGGAGGGAGCGGGAGGGGGAGGGTGTTTTCCGTGCGGTCCTGCTCCTCTCTCCTGCCCTCCCTGCGGGTTCTCTGCTGCCTGCGTCGCTCACGGTACCTCCCCCGACACGGCCCGAGGGCGTGAATAGCAGACCCGGGAAGTGTGTGTGTGGCAGGGTCATGCGTGGGCGCAAGCTGGGTTCTGGCTGAAATGTCCCGTGGGGCTCACGACAGAGGTGGGGCCCATAGCATCGTTGTCATGGGGAGAATATGGCCCAGCAGCCGGGACCAGCCCCCAGGCTCCTTGGCTCTGGGTCAGGCTCACCTCTCTGCAGTCTGCCCAGGGCCCTGCCAGCCCCCAAGGGTGGTGATCTGGGAGCAAATTGGAAACACAGGCGGTTGTTGGGCAAGTTCTGGACCCTGTGTGCCTCCTGGTCTGACGGGCGGGCCCGCCTGTGGGCTCCCTCCGCATGCGTTCTCTCCACAGCCATCAGCAGAGAGTTTTGTGTTCATATGTATATTCTTTATTTTTAATATATTTTTATTGCTTTCAGAGAGGAAGGGAGAGGGGGAGAGAGAGAAGCATCAGTGATGAGAGAGAATCATGGATCAGCTGCCTCCTGCACGCCCCACACTAGGGATTGAGCCCACGACCTGGGCATGGGCCCTGACTGGGAATTGAACCATGACCTCCAGGTTCATAGGTCAATGCTCAACCACTGAGTCACACTGGCCGGGCCCGACATATATTCTTACATTGGTCTGGCCCCGAAGCCCGGTGGGTAGTTACCCCTGAGGAAGCTGAGAGCGCAGAGGGCTCTGACTCCCAATTACACGGTCTCCCCTCTCCTCCCGCCCCTGGCAGGACAGCCCTGGGTGAGGGGCACGCCGTCAGGAAGTCCCCTCTGCTGGGTCTAGGACTCCTGCTGCATCCTACAGCCTTGCTCACGTGACCCCACAGGGGAGGCGCCAACCCACAGGGAATTTCGCACACCCGCTGCGTCATGGGCGGTTGGGGAAGGCAGAGAGCCCTCTGGGTGACACGTTGGCCGGAAGGCGTGGCTGTGGGCCTCTTGTTCACGGAGCTCTCGTCTTTCGGTGGCGGCAGTGGAGGCGATCGGAGGAGTTTTCCCTAAATAGCTTGAAACCTGCGAGCACATTTACCTCTGAAACGGAATCCCTTGAGGTGCCTTTCAGACAGACACGCATGCACGGCGTGGCTTCTCCCTAAAACAGTGTCTGGGCGTGATCCTAGTGTGACGGGCTCCGACAGGTCCCAGGGCCCACACGGTGTGTGTCCCCCAAGTGCCCAGCCCTGAGCGGCACGAGCTCCCGGGTGGCAGCGTGGGAGGCTGTGCCCGACTCCACACAAGGTCGTGCGCTGTCACCGCTGGGGGATGCTGGTGGCCGCCCGTGGCCTGGGCGCGCCCACACACATAATTCCCAATAATCTATTTTTAAAAAGACAGGACCTACAAGCAAGGGCACTCGAGAAGAAGCTACTTGGAAAACTATTAAGACCAATAATAGGATTAGCCCTATTTTCATTTAATTTGGAGTGAAATTACCAACTCAGCTATGTTTTAGGGGAGGGTTGCCATGGCGACGGCGGAGGGGTCTAAGTGTGGCGGATGATGTCATCGCCGAGCTGGCTGCACTGTCAGTGTGAGGCTCCTGTTTCCCCGTGGACTGTAGGTCATCGCAGGAGGAGGCGTCCCGCCCGATCCTAACTGTGCACAGGCCCACAGGCCGGCTCTCCATTCCCACCCTGCCCCAGCCCCTTCTCTGCCACTCAGCCCAGCCGTTATGGGGTTCCTTACAAGTAAAACCTGGTGGGCGGCGAGGCCAGGTGGGCGGGGAGGCCAGCTGAGCACCCTATCTCCCTAGAGTGACTGGGTGGTGGCCATCTGACTCCTGACTGGTAAATACGCAGAAGAAAACAATGGCTTGAGGCAGAGTTGAGCTGCTGTGGTGTCTACACTAAGATGTGGTGGGAAAAGCTCAGGGTCCGTGTGCGGTTGGGACAGGAAAGAGCAGGGGCACTGGGATCTCCCCAGTGTGCCCTCGTGTAATGGCGGCTCCTCCCTGCTCCCTCCTGTGGCAGGGAACGTGTGGGTGGAGAAGGAGAGGACACAGGACAACAGCGCCTTTAGCACCCGTCAGTGTCTCAGACCCTCCGATGACTGAGCTTTGAGCCACGAGAATAAAGCCCAAGGTGAGCCCGGCGGCGTGGCTCCGTGGTTGAGCATCGTCCCAGGAACCCGGAGGTCAGGCTCGATCCCCTGCAGGGCACACGCCCAGGTTGCAGGTGTGATCCCCAGGAGGGGGCGTGCAGGGGGCAGCGATGGCTGTTTCTCTCTCACGCACCCTCCAGCCCCGAGAGGCGAGAGGAGGGACGGGATGAGCGATGAGCAGCACAGTGTTGCAGTGACTCCCACAGGTCCAGGAGCATCCGCGTGGTGTCAGGCTGGTCATAGCTGTGCATTGGGGAGAAAACTGTTTTCAGCTCTTTCAGGGAACACTGGGCTAGGAAGATACTAGTAAACAGGCCCTAGACAGTGTGGCCAGTGGATAGAGCATCAGCCCATAGACTGAAGGGGCCAGGTTTGGTTCCAGTCAAGGGCATGAACCTGGGGTGCAGGCTTGATCCCTGGCCTCCGTTGCGGTGCATGTGGAAGGCAACCAGTCGATGTGTCTCTTTCGCATCCATATTTCTCTCGCTCCCCGTCCCCTCTGCTTTCTCCAAAATTATGGTAAAATATCCTCGGGAGAGGATTAACAACAACAAAAACAACAACAAATATAATATATATATATATATATATATATATATATATAGAGAGAGAGAGAGAGAGAGAGAGAGAGAGAGAGAGAGAGGATAAACAGTTTTTTGCCATTGATTTCTCAGGGCTTTTAACATCATCCTAGCCAGTAGGACTCAGGATCAGGTGTGATGTGAGAGCCATCGATGCTGGGTGCCCAGGGAGCAGTTCTGGTTGGTGGGACTCAGGTCACCGGGGTGTGGGTGTGGGCGCGGCTGTTCTTGCTCAGACGGCACAGACCCTGGCCTGGCCCTCGCCTGGCTCTGTTCACACTCCGCGTCTCGCTCTGAGCCGACAGTGACTGCGCCAACCTGCGCCTCGCCCACGCCCCAGCGCCCTCTCTCCCGGGCCATCCCTCTCGGGCCAGGAAAGCCCAGCGACCTCACAG